GTCTGTACAGCGTTAACGACTGAATAAAAGATATTGGTGTTCGAATTCTTTTTCTTAGTTAGACCATTTTCTTTCATTCTAGATAGTTTTCACAACAAAATTCTACAAAAATTTGTATTTCATCACAAAAAAAAATCAAATCAAGATTTATATACATGTATTTTGTCATATAAGAAATATCCCTCCGCTAACACAGATTTGATAACATTTTTTGTGTGTGCATATTGTTGCTATTAACCATGTTACCTGTCTATTATTATGCTAGAAACGTTGTTATAATGTTTAAAACAAATATAACTGTATTGTATTGTATTGTTTTGAATACGGGCCATAAGGATTAGCTGACCATTGTCATAAACAATAATCCACGTAATCCCCTGGGGGCATTAAAGTGGCATTATAAACCGTATCTATATTTGGACGTTTACCAGTTCAGTTAGATAGTAAAAATAGAACTTTTAACACAAACGGACTAAAAAGTAATCGATTTTGGTAAGGAAACTATGTACTTTTAACGAGATAAAAGTGACAATTAAAGTGATTCGATCGAAGTGCGTTATCTCTGATAAATTTTCTAAGGATCTAAATAAACACAATTAACAGGTAAGACTCGTTTCTCGTTAAATTTGTTCTGCTAGCAAATTAATACAATAATGGCTTTTACAGTATTTGCGTCATCTCTGAATAATTTCTAAGGACATATAAAATTATATGTAAAAAAGGTAATGCTCTTTTCTTGTTTGATTTATTTTGCTGTTTTGACAGAAAAAGGAAAAATGAAAAAAATTATTAATGAGTAGATAGATAAATAACAATTAGTAATGGCTGTAAAAGTATTTGCGCTTCCGTTGCAAATAAAGTTAAAGGAAGCTGTGATGTACCGTCTCTCACAATTCATGGGGGTCAAGAGTTCGAACCAGTCAAGGGTTACGAGGGTGTTGCATTAAATATCACAAGTGCTGACCCTACCTGGCCACGACCATGTTTCTCACATAACACAAGTAATGGTTAGTTCCAGGAAGGGGGCTCGAAAGTGATTGATATAAGTTGCAATAACTTGTTTCGCAACTGAACTAAAATAAATATGTTTGGACGAGTGCTGGTTAGTTTCGAGACCGACTTTAAAGTGGTTAATTTAATAACTACAACAATTACTTATAATCGAACTGGTTAACTGCTCAACATGCTCATTTTGGAAGAAATCACTTACTGGTGTTCGGTAAATTTGGTTAAAAATGATAAGAAACTGGATATTTATTTTTTTACAAAGAAAATTCTGCACCGTGCAGTAATTGAGAAGACGTTTTTTTGTGGCGTGAACATGGGAATAAATGACCGCAACAGAAATGAGCCGCTTCACGACAAAACCAACCTAGTGCGTTTGCGACCAGCATAGATCCAGACCAGCCTGCGCAACCGCGCAGTCTGATCAGGATCCATGCTGTTCGCTTACCAACCCTATTACAAGTAGAGAACAGCATGGATCCTGATCAGACTGCGCGGATGCGCAGGCTGGTCTGGATCCATGCTGGTCGCAAACGCACTATGTTGGTTTTGTCATGAAAAAAATCTTTACTTTTTATACTTTTTTTCCAAACTGTACTAAGATTTTCTTTTCATGTGATATTATATAGTATCAATTTTGTTATCGTTCGAATTGAAATGGCGAAGTTATGAATGTTATGATAAATATAATGCATGCTATATAATTGATGAAAGGCAAATATACTTTGTTTGACAAATAAATCAAACCCAAGTTCATTCCAAACAATATTTAAACGCTTTACAATGCACAGCATTGTCCAGTGTACTTTACCGCTAGTTAAAGGGAATTAAACTTTATCCGATAAAAGGACAAAATATACATGTACATACAAATCGCAACGTTTCGGTCCTTTCAGTACAACGTCAGATTTAGAATAATAATAAATAACTAGTAATCGGCAAGGTGTTCCGAATTCAAGAGCAATATTTTGCAATCATAACATCCTCGGCTATTATCTACAAGTTTGCTTCTTTAAAAAGAAGCATGCGAGAGGTCTTTTTGCTGCTGTCGAAAATTTGCTTAATTCGAAAATATTTGGGGATATTTTTGCATAACAGACACAATGAATGTTTATAAATTACAATTATTAAACAAAATAGAATTTATTATATATATTGCAATGAAAGTTTGTTTTACATTTCATCTTTTTTTAATGTTTTAAAAGATTATATGCCGGAGAAATGGACTTTTTTCTTGGCGCATTAGGGATACTTTTTCTACAAAAAAATTTGTAAAATTACTTAATGTAAATTAAATGATATATATCATTTACATTTGTATTTTAAATTCAGTTCCCTTTGTAGAAAAATTATATATATATATTAAAAGTATTTTCAAAATAAAAGTTTCTTGTAAAGTTCAATAAGCAAATTTTCGGTCACTGTTTTGTTAAATATAAGGAAGCATTTCCTCTACATTTTCCCAAACGAGTATAAAGTATGTTAATCAAACAAGTTTACATAAAAAATGTTGATATCATTTGATTGGAATAAACAGTAAATACTGTTATATACTGTTATACTGTTAAATACTGTTTATTGGAATAAACAGTATATAAAGCTGCATGCCTCCAACCACAATATTAGAAGAAATACAAACTTGAGATAAAATTTGTGCCATTTGCACCAAAAAATCTCCCTTTGCGTTATTTAGATATACCGGTTCAATACACGGTACACTCGGTCATATAATATGTTTGTTTGTTTCATTGTACGCCTTTTCCCAACAGTATTTTAGTCATATAGGCGGGTAGTTTCCTAACCATCGTTCCTGGAGAGTTACACCAGTACTAGACAACCTTCCTCAGCGCTAAACTAACAAAAAATAGCATCATCCGGGGATCGAACCCACGCCAGAGAGCTTACTGTATTAAAAGTCATCGACTCTAACCCCTCGACCACGGAGGCGGTATATGTAGTGGATGGTGATATTGTAGCTTTAATGTTTACTTTAACTATTTATCAGAACATGAAATAGTAAAACGTTATTCAGAAAACAATACGGTAATCGATTTATACAGTTACGAAATGAAGCATCCATGCACGTAGTGTTAAGTAACGTAAATGATATTTTCCGATTTTTTATGTACCGATTTGTTCACTTCGATGTTAATTTTTCGTTTAAGTTAAGCCGTGTTTTGAAACGGGGCATGCGCAAAACAATTTTTGTAGACTGCTCCTAATGATTTTACGCTTAAAATGAGATTCATTCACTGCAATCAGATACGCAAAAATGGATGCCGCCAGCAATCAGTCTGAACACTATGGAGAGGTCTGATGACCTCTCCAATAATAACCTTAAATAGTCCTTATCCGAAGACTGACGGAAATCGTTTGGAAACTTTGTTGAATTGAAAGAAGATGGAATGACCACACAATTCAATTTGATGCAGTTTTTTACAATGATTGTCTATCCATAAATGCATTAAAAGAGATCAACAATATTTTCATTATCTCATCTCAAAGTGTGTCAAAACTGTATTTTATGAAAAACTTCTATATGGTGTCTATGTGTATCAACATAAAGGGATCATTTAAATACCCGTTTATGACTCTATTTAAGGCCACACTACTGTATTTTTTTTCATTGACTTACTTATCAAAATACCCTTACACCTACCTTTAAATTGAGTATTCATGCTAAAGATGTGATTTTTCGTCTTGTCGCTAGCGACAACGCGACATTGCGCCAATCGGCGCGTTGTCGCGCTGTCGCCCTGTCTCTTGGATTATATGCCAATCCTTCGACTTGAACCGAGCGACAGTGTGACATCGCGAAAACACTCCGCACGACAACTCGCCGTTTGGCGTACATCGTTAGCGACAGGACGACCAGACGGAAGTCCGACAACGCGCTCTTTGGCGCTTTGTTCTGTTGTCGCTAGCGCCAACACGACGCACAAAAGCGTTTCAAATCAGCCATAATACTATACAGTAATATGAAGGTGTTGACTGTATACCTTGTAGAAATAAGATCAATATGCAATGGATATGGGGATGTTTTAATTGTTTGTTTTATTTAAATGCAAATTTTGGTATTTTAAACGGGAGAAACTATGTTGAAGGTGACTTTACTTGCATTAAACAACAGGGTTGTTCAGTGTGTCACATATTTTTGTTCTTGCATATTCTACCATATTCCATAATATTTTAAACAAAAAATCGATCAATCAATCAATCAATCAATCAATCAATCAATCAATCAATCAATCAAGTAAAACACGACATAACACACGGACGAACTAACGAACATATTAACATCAAGATATCTAAAAAAACACACAAGCAATAACATAAACAAACGTTTTTTGTACCATGGATCTTCTCGGCCCTTTCCTAATCGAAACATCTCGGCTATTATCAATAATAGTTCCTTTCCGAAAACTGATAGAAAGGGCTGAAAAAATGCGATATTTTATGAACGATAACCAAGGAGTTCCGGGTCAATAACAAGTAATAGCTTGAAATCATAGAACAAGTTCTAAAAATCGATTGAAAAGCCAAAAGTTTAAGGCTGATAAAACCTATTTTAAAAATTTGTGTCCAATATTAGGATTTTCATGGGTCAGTGCACAATTAGTGCAAGTCTCTGACCAATCAAATACCCGGGATCTGAGTTTGAGTTTTGAATTTTTTTACTCCGGACCTAGCCTCAAACTCCTCACAGCGGTTACGCCACGCTTTGCTACTTTGATACTGAGGTTTTTTATTCATCAATTAAATTTATGATAAATAAATGGAATTACTCAGTAGACTAATTGATTATACTTACCAAATTAATACATTAATAATAATCATTTTATGAGTCATTCAAGTCTTAACTTTAATAATGTCAGCTTGCAAATACCCTGTACTGTTTTACTCATGAAAAAAATATTTTTTTTTTAAATTAAAAAAAAAAACCACAAGAATATAGATCATGCAGGTTTCAGGTATAGTATAATTAATGCATTTACCATTCCCCAACAATGTGACATTCATCAATTGTCACTGCTGCCACTGCATCTATGAAAGCCCTGTCTTGGAGAAGTGACTTTCTACAGTCAGTGTTTAACAAGGCCTCTGGGTGTGCAAATATGACTGAATTTTCAAGATTTTTTGACAAATCTAGGTCAAACTCTGGTTCCTTATCACTGTATGGTAACCTACATGATGTCACACCACTAGATCCTAAAATATTTAACTGCTCCTCCTGTGTTATATTTAAGGGGGATAAGACCAATACAACATTCTTTGTTAGCCCCTTCTTCTTCATGATGCCAGGCAACAACTGGTAAACAAGGCTTTTCCCATATCCAACTGGCAGATTTACAATTACATCCTTACCAAATAACACTCAATTTGTAATAAGTGCCGGATCAAAATCGTTTGTGCAATCGAACTTCAGTCATTATTTACTACACATACGGTGTCACAGTGAAAATATCTTTCGTTATGTTTAATTTTTTTTTTTATATTTTATAACGTATATTTTTTTACTTTCTTGTACAGTAAGCATAACAATTTAATGAAAGAAAATTAAAATGATATAAAGTATTCTTTTTAAAAATTAAAAGTGAAAAAAAAAATATATTCGGCTCTCTTAAGCCGAATTTACTTGTGGTGGCAGTGGTTACTGTACTGATCAGGCCCTTTGCTTTTTTCCTTGCAAAATTGCTGGTCGCAAACCCAATACATTGGTTTTGTCATGACACGGCTCAAATGATTTCTTTAAAAAAAAATGTGATAGATGAGTATCGTGTGATTTTATTGGTAGTTACACAAAGATAAGTAAATTCCAACATCGCATTTGCATGTGCATTTATCAGTCCCACATCATAACTTTCGACGTGAAACGTCATTGTAGGCTATGCAAACACTAATGTTGTCAATATATGTACATCTCATGGTTTGTAACACTTGTTTTTGATTTTTTTATAGATCTATAAACTATTGTTGTTTTTTTCTCCCGAAGGATAATGTCTCGTGCAGGGAATCTGTGACGTCATCACCTCTAAAGAATCGAACAGAGAATTGACTTTCCGCTTCTAACAAGTTTGACTTCGTGTCCTCGCTGGGCTTTCTCTATTGCAAGCAATACCTAAAAGCATAAAGCTTTAACCTGAAAGCTTATATCGTTAACATTCTTTATATGGATTAAGAAAAGTTAATAAAAATGACCTTTGGAATTACGACAATTTATTTTATCGTTAATTTCAACAACATGTCAACACTATTCTGTTTATGTGTACTTAACTTGTTTTTTAAGAGCATATAAAGAGCATTTTCAAATGATCAATATAGATTTTGAATTAATGTTCCGAAAATACAAGATTTTATAAATACAAGATGTTATAAAAAAATTATAAGGATGGTGACGAAATTACTAACGTCATCTTCGTATGGGTAACCGCCGTTCCGAAGTCTTGAATACATTAAACTGTCGTTGACGTACACCTCAAAGGAATCTGAAAAACAATAAAAATAAAATGAAAAAAGTAATAATAATAATTATGATAATAATAATAATAATAATAATAATAATAATAATAATATAATAATAATAAAAATAATAATGATAATGATAATGATAATAATAATAGTAATAGTAACAACAACGACGACGACGACGACAACGACAAACGACAAACGATAATGATAATAATAATGATAATGATAAAAATAAAATAAAAATAATAATAAAAAAAATAATGAAAATCAGAGAAAACTGAATAAATAAATTTAAAAAATAAATGAAATAAAATATAATACCCCCACCCCCTCCCCCAATAAAACCCCCCCCCCCAGAAAAAAACGCATAATATCAGACGACACAAATAGCATATCTAGGTCCTCACAATATATACAAGCATGACCTTCAATATAAAAGACTAAGAAAATTATAAATTAAAAATGTTGATTAAGAGCTACTATTACATATACAAATGTACATGTATTTATTATTTTAAACGAGACATAAAATACCTCTCATCCCGTGACTGCCTATGAAGATTTTTTTTTTTTGGAAAAGAAAATGTTATCAACATTTAGTTAGTAATCTAATAATTTATAAAATGTTCCATGCAGAAAAAATATCGTCTAATTTGCCATTTAATTTTGCTCCCCCCCCCTCCCCCCCAAAAAAGGGAAAAGAAAGGCGTGGATAAGAGGCTTTATACGTAACAGCATCAAATAATCTATTGGTCGGTAAGTTTCATTTCTGATGTTAACCTATTACTTCATGAGCATTTTGTGAAAATTGGCTGTTTTCATTGAAAAGCCTCCTTTTACAAGTTCAAACTGCTATGAAACTAAAAAAAACTGTTCAATACTCATCAAAATTGGCACATATGTTGACTGGACCATTGCCTTTGTAACGACATGCTCAGTCTGAAATTTCCTGTTACCATGGCAAAGAGGGGACATCTTAAAATTACCAAAAATCACTATTTTGCGTTGACTTTTTCCATCAAAATTGATTTCTAAGTGCTGCAACTTCCCAATGGATTGAGATAGAGTCAAAGGCTTTTCAGCGTTGGTTACACGTTACCTTATGATCGACCTGGGGTCATTTTTAGCCTCTCACAAGTCCAAAATTTTCTTGGCGATGAGGGGGACTGCCGCCCTCCTTCAAACCCCCAAACAGAAGGGGTTACATTCCCCTTCTGGCACCTCCCTGATGTATCTTTAAGATGGGAGGCGGCGCCGTAAAAGTGGTCACTTTTTTAAGCAAAATTTCTCAAACAAAAAAAGTGTTGGGGGCCTAAATAAGACATTTTTTTCACCATTTGGGACAACAAATAGGGAGGGGGGGGGTGAAAAAGGCGTTAAAAGGCGTGTATATCGGGTAATGGGTTAAAGCAACTATTTATATAGAAAAAGAATGTTAAAACAAATGCTATACTTATTGCGCCTTTTCTCTGTTCAAATGAAACGTCTTCTTCGTCATAGTTATCTTCTATTGCTAGTCGAAGATTGTCACAGACACCCTGACCTATTCATCCAGACCTTATAACATAAAAAGGACAGTACATATAATAAAACCTTAAGCATGGCTTAAATGTTAACAAAATAAATTAATTATGATTCACACATCTTATCGAAAATGAGCGGATATTATGTATATGTTAGTGTTCACCTGTGCTGTTCTACAGAAATTAGAAACTTCGACGGGAGCGATAGCAACCTGTAGACAGGAGGAGATAACTGTATCAAGCATTTTTACAGAATTATGCCCCTTTTTCAACTTAGAATTTTGGTTAAAGTTTTTGTAATACCTCAACTATTTTAAGTCCATTGACATATTGCCCTGAAACTTTGCACACTAGTTCACCATCATGACCCTAACTTGTTGACAGGAGGAGGTAACTGTATCAAGCATTTTGACATAATTATGCCCCCGTTTCGACTTAGAATTTACATTTAAAGTATTTGTATCCCTTCATATATTTTTAAAATCCATTGACATATGGTTCCTGTAGACAGGAGAGGGTAACTCTATAAAGCATTTGGCAGAATAATGCCTCTTTTTTCAAGTTAGAATTTACATTTAAGTTTGCATACCACCTCAGATATTTTCATATTCTATTGAGATCTGGCTTTGAAACAAGTTGAAATTTTATACTCTTCTTTGAGAGCATAATAGGACTCTCTCCAAGGCCTATAACTGTAACATTGATTTAAAGAAACATTTTGCCCTTTTGTTATCTTAGAAAATTTTACATTATCAAGGTACTTTAACTATCAAACTCTAAGAATAGTCGAGCAATGCTGTCCTACCGACAGCTCTTGTTATACTCCTTAAAATCTTAGAGCATTTTTCTTAAGGCTTATTTTCTTTAAATAGTTTTACTCGTCTGGAGGCGTGCAGCTTTTAAGTGAATAGCTTAGACGGTTTTGATTACCCAATATTTCTTTTCGTTCTAATCTTGCATAAAAAGCTTATAAAAATGATGTAAGAAAGTTCATAAATTATCTAACTTCATATACATATTTTATCATTTTTCACGAAACAGTAAATTCACATATAAACAAACTCACCAATGCGTTACTAATACGTGAACTTGTTTTCCTCTGGCACGTGATTCTCGTGTACGAGGTAATTTATCCCTACCGTAATCATCGTGTTCATCCGGGTCATCGATGTATTCACCCGTCTGTCTATCCGTCTCGTCGTGATTTATTCGTAATATATCATAGTCCCCCTTTTTACTTTCATCAGTTTTCGTAAAATAATAATTCTTGTCCATATGACGCGACCTATAGTCGTATTGATTATAGAACATATTTGGCCTTAAAACAATTATTTTATCTCAATCACTCGCGCATATCTAAAGACTCGTCTTAGTTATTCCGCCTATTTAAAATGTAAAAATTTGTTACAGTAAAAACAAAGTAAGTGATTTACACAATATTCAAATTTCCAAGTACGTTTTTTTACTTCTTCCTTTTTTTCTTTATATCTTTATATATATATATTTTTCTTAAGAAACTTTTTTAAGATAAATGAATTATCCAGATTTTGGAGGTCTGAAATGTTTAATGTACTTGTGCAAATATTAATTTTATAAATACTCCTGTTTAGAAGGTTTGCCAGCCAACTTAAATTATTTAACACATTTGATATATATTAAATAAACCAGTAGCAAAATTGGTAAATTCAACAAGATCGAAAGACGTTTTCAAACACCGAATAGATGAATGCTTTTAAAGCGATTTGATTTAAATTAAAAAAGATGAAAAGAATCTATTCTGTTTAATTCTGTACCAAAGATCTGTAAAGTATTTGGTTTCGAGATCGATAAATGTGATGAATAGGTATTATACTATTGATTGAAAAACTACAGTAAAATTTTAATTTCCAACATCATAAATGTAAAAATACAAAATAAAGTAACTTGAGACGCTATGACTTTGTATGGAAAGTGGAAATGTTAGCAGGCCAGTTTTTCGATATTTTTTATAATTGATTTTTACCGAAGATTGACGGAAAAAGCCTAGATGCTGCCCTTGCGTGCCAGTTAGGGCACATTATTTGTTAGGGTCATGGTTCATTTTATCTCGACTGTTCGAAGAATAATGAGCCTTAATGGGTCGATGTCGGAGTAACACTCGGTGAAAGTTTTACGTTCAATTTCTTGTACATCATCTTTTGCTTTCGCACACCTATTTGAGAGCATAAAAGGTCACTTATTCACGGTCCATAACTCTTGGCATATATTTGACTGCATTATGGCCTTTTGTGACCTTAGAAAATTTGTAATTGAAGTCCTGTATGTATCACCAGTTGCTGAAAAAATATAAAAAAGTTCTCGCTTGAAACTTCACATAATCATGTATTTCGGTGTCATAACAAGAGGTGACTATAGTATAATTAATTCTGTCTGCATTATGGGCTTTTATGAACTACCAAAATTCTCTGGTCAGTATTCAAGACAACTATTTTGCAAACCAAAAGAGAAGAGACTTGATGTGCAGCGCGTTTGCATAAAAACAACAAAATTTGTTTGCTATTTGCATTTATTCATATTGCAAAAAGTAACAGCTATTTGATCACCGTGTCATTCACAGGTGTTATGTTAAATATGTATCGCGACATTTTCATGTATAAAAATATAGCAATATCGTCATGTTAATATATGTATCGCGATAATGTCATATATAAGTATGTATCACGATACTTGACCTTAAGGTAGCCCGACTGGTTGTTTCGCATGACACATGTTCTCATTTTGTGAATATTTGTAGCAAGTATTATCAATATCCCTTAATGGATAAGTAATTTACGGACCGGACACGATATATACCTGTTGACTTTTAATCACCAAGTGTGATTTTGACCAAGGATAAGGGGTCTGGTCTTTTTCATGACACATCGTCTTATTATAACAGACATTTGTGCCAAGTTCCAAATTAACAAATTCCTTTGATAAATGACATAGTTATGGACCGGACACGTAAGTGTGGCGGACGGACGGACAGACAGACAGACAGACTGATCAGGATCCATGCTGTTCGCTATCAGTATCTCTTTTTATCCCGCGCCGAAAATTTTCGGCGGAGGATATAGAAATAGTCTCCGTCCGTCCGTCCGACCTTCCGTCCGTCCTTCCGTCCGACATTTTTGTCCGGAGCATATCTCTAAAAGTATTTGAGTTATCAACTTGAAACTTCATAGCTGGATAGACCTCATTGAGGAGGAGTGCAGTGCACAAGAATGATAACAGTATTCACATAGGTTTCAAATCTGTAATCACTATAGCCATCAGTTTTCATTACCAAAAGACCTCTTAAAATGAAGTTATTCTGCTCTACTACATATACATTCTTCCAATGAGCAAACACATTCGGCGGGGGATGGCCATGTTGACATGGCTCTAGTTGTAATAGGGTTTGTAAGCGAACAGCATGGATCCTGATCAGACTGCGCGGATGCGCAGGCTGCAAACACACTATTCCATGCTGGTCGCAAACGCATTACGTTGGTTTTGTCATGGCGCGGCTCATATCAATTTTCCAATAGAAATACCCATTAAACCTGACTTAAAATAATGTCTGATACATTTGACTGACCAGAATTTTCACGAATGTCCTGATAGATGATTACCTCGCTTTTCACTGGCATTAGACTAACATATACTATTTTTAAAATCAAATATTAAAGTGAAAAAATAATTCATTTTTTAAAGAAAACAATTTTGTTTAAATTCCTATAATTTTCACATTTTTATTGAAAAAAAATGTCTAGGATAAAATATAAATCTGCAAAAAAGACTGCCCACCCTTTTCATTAATTGAACGTAACAGGTTAATTCAGTCGGATATTAATAGAAATATCCGTGGGTCACGTGAGTCATTTATTGTTCATGCCAAGAGAATTATATAGCAAAATGTAAACTTATTTTGACTGTCATCTCTTCATCAACTATACACACTTTGATGTGCTTAATGTCCCAGCTTTGCCGTATTCAAATGCGCCGCGTTTTGAAGATGAGAACCAGTCTGGCTATAGTCGGAGCTATTCGGTAATATGTTGGTTCCGATTTTCAAAGCGCGGCGCATTTGAATACAACAAAGCTGGAAGCCAATTTTGAATTTGTTGATTTCAAGATTTTGAAAACGGAGTAAAACGGCGATAATTTTGATGTTTATTTCGCCTGTTGCGTTATTTATATTTATGTTGAAGTTTAAATTTGACCATCATCGTGGAGAATAATATATTCTGTGTCGATGGATCAAAGGATTATGTGAAAATATTGGAAATGGAATAAAATACATGGTGATTTTGAGAGTAGGTGTGCGGATTTTTTTCAGGCGAACATTTTTATCTTGTGTATTATTATAGACGTTGAAATATGAAATTTCCAAAACGGCTTATATTAAGTTTTTTAATGTATATGATAAGTACATGTGCTGGGATTGACAAATATGCATTTTATTTTGATTTAAAAGGTGACTTGAGCTCTACACCCCAAGTGTCTGTGTTTGCACGTGCATTTTTCAGTCCCACATCACTTTAATTTTCGATGTGAAACGTCATTGTAGGCTATGCTAACACAAATGTTGTCAATATATGTACATCTCATGTAACACTTAGTTTTTTTTTTTATAAACTATTGATTTTTTTTCTCCGGAATGATTATGTCTCGTGCAGGGTATCTGTGACGTCATTATCTCTAAAGAATCGAACAGAGAATGGACCTTCCGCTCCTAACAAGTTTGACTTCGTGTCCTCGCTTGACTTTCTCGATTGCAAGCAATACCTGAAAGCATAAAGCTATAACCTGAAAGCTTATATCATTAACATTTTTATATAGGTTAAGACAAGTCAATTAAAAAGACCTATGAAATCACGAAATTTCATTTTATCGTTAATTTCAAAAAACATGTCAACAATATTTTTTTTTATATGTACTTAAATTGTTTTTTTTTAAATCACTGAAGAGCATTTTAAAATTATCAACATAGATTTTGAATTAATGCTCCAAATATACAAGATGTTATAAATACAAGATGTTATATAAAAAATTATAAGGATGGTGACGAAATTACTGACGTCATCTTCGTATGGGTAACCGCCGTTCCGAAGTTTTGAATACATTAAACTGTCGTTGACGTACACCTCAAAAGATCCTGAAAATCAATAAAGATAAAATGAAAAGAAATAGCAATAATAACAATAAAAAATAAATTAAAATAACAATAAACACAAAAAATAAATAATGAAAAATAAAATAAGATAAAATAGTCCAGTCATTCTAGCTCAAAATAGAGTCAAACCTCAAACAAATTGCAACAGAAAATATTTTGAGTGTTTTAAAACCCCAGACCTATATTGTATAACATATCAAAAGTCTAGAAAAATCTAAATTGGAGAATGTTTTCAAAAATCGAGATCAAATTTATGGGTATCATATTGAATTTATTTTTTTTAATTTGAACTCAATATAATACACACATACAATTTTCCAATCAGTTTTATATATAATATGCATAAAAATATTGCTTAATCTATCCCTATAGTAACATAAAGTAATCAAAAAGTTGTTTTTGTTTAAAGAAACTACTTTTACCTTTCTAAAATTTATTAATTAACTTAAGTGGGTGGGGTAATATAATATTTTTACATTGCTGTAATTCAACAATTTATTGAAAGCTCTATGTTATTAAACAGAAAAATACATAAAGGTTAACTTACATGAGAAAACTGCCAAGTTTTAACGTTTTATGAATTTAATTTACATTTCATCAATATTTAATGCATATATTGAAATATTTATATTAACATTGTACAGCTAGTGGGTGGGGTAATTTTATACAAAATAAAGAAACATTAAGGAAATTTATATTATCTATGATAATAAAATTGAGTTTTATATTAACTTGAATACTTTCAAGCACATATGTTGTATTTTTTTTCTGAGTCATTATATAACACCATGACATTGGGTCAAAAGAGGGGACATTGACCTTTTGGAAGGTCAATTTCAAATATTTGATACATTTGAGCATAAAATGTAAAAAAAAAAATATTTGCAAATTTTAATTTGTAAAATATCTTCGCTAAGCATAAGCACAAGAATGTCATGACTTTTACTAAGCGTCACTTGCTTCTGTAATTTCTGGTCGACCAATCTTTCACTTTTTATCACTAGATGGTAGCACCTGAAATTCTTCTGGTATATCTTTTCCAGTTCTGAAATTAGAGGAGCATAAACATGTTTGATGGTAAAGAGCATCGGCTACAAGCAAGTTGTGAACCTGTTCTATCCTTGCTCTCACTGTATCAGACAAACAGTCATTCCTCTGTATATAGTAGGTTCTAGTGTATTTACTGGCAAAACATCACACTTCCTTGTTTTACCCTTACTTATTACAGATTGACCACAATATAAACAATCTTTTTTGTATGAAAACTTATCAGTCATTGATCTCAATGGTGTTAATGGTGGCATCAGTGTTTACTTTTTCTGTCTTAGTGTCTCTTTTAGTGTAATGTGGGTTAAAGTACATCTTTCTACACTCAATGTAGATATATTATTCCGATTCAACTTTTAAACTGTTATTTTTTATCTCACTGGCAGCATTTATTCCCTTGCATTCCTTTTCGTTGCCTTTAACTGTCTTTGTATGATCATCAAACAGCCATTAACAAATCCGACAGGAGTTCATCTTGAAAAAAAAAACTGATATTGTAAGATTTATAAAATCTGTTTATTACATTATATGGAGGTTGATCCAGAATTACCCAAAATTTGTTTATAATTCTGATAACTTTTTATGTTTTCTTCATTAAATTTATAAATGCGCAAAGATCGATGTTTCTTCTATTTAATTGCCAAATATAATTGATTATAAACATCCAGTACCGTCTAAGGCCGCCTTAAATAACCATGTTTACGCCACAGCAGCGCAACTCAAAGATCACGACGTTCGTTGAAATTTATAATACACCAAAGTGCCCGACACAAAAAGGGATCATGTCCAATATTTGCCGAAGGTTAATGTAAAGCCTGCTAAAATTTCACGTCGTTTGAACATTGTATTATTGTGTAATCATTTGTAATTGCAACGTTTATTTATAGAGAAACGTCTTCATTAAGGCGTCGGAAAACGGCACTTTCATAAACATTTGTCAACTGTTTAGACAGCCTAACATAGAAACATCTAATATGATAAAAGAAATTCGACACAAGTATTTTGTTAGTCATGCATACAAAACTTTTTGAGGGGTAAAGAAGTTTTTTTTACCAGACCGTTGAAGTAATTTTTAGGATAAATACATATCGTTTGCGGCATTGAAGAATACGCGTGAAATTAACGTTCTCCGTCGCTTTGGCGATTGAAAAATACAAATATGTTGTCATATGCGGCCTTGCACAATTTCAATGCGATTTAAAAAAAATGAATTCTAATTAATTATGTGATGTTTTTCATACTTTATTTGTTTTCTTTTACATGCACTTTTTACCTAATTAAATTAAATGAATCATATATTTTATGCCTTCAACTTTAAGATGATCATGTGTATGAATCACAGCAATCAAAGCAACTAGCAGTTCAATAGTCATGGGTTTAGGTTGTTAGTACACTTACAGTGAATGGCATCGGGAGGATTCCCTATGTATAAGAACAATAGAACATCAAGCTTTTTTGCATAATGTGACAAATGCTATGTTTACTTAATCGGTAGGCATACTGTGTTTAATTATCATATTCTTAAATTGTTTCCTTGTAAAGAGGATATATTACGCAATAATAAAGTGTTTGTTATATGAACTTTGAATAAATATTATTGAATTTATTGTTTAAATTACGGGTATTTCTGGATCATCCCTTGTATTCTTGTATTCTAGTTATTTGTAGCTGATTACGTATTGTTTCAGTTATCCCAGAATAGTACGTGTTATTATAAGATGTATTTTTCCTAAAAGGCTTCCTTAAAATGTTTTAGGTGTATTTATTTGATCAAAGTTGCTGATATGACACACTTTTCTTGCATATCAGACTGGCGTTTCCGTTAGTATTACCCATGCCGGAAATTTCATCTGGCATAGGGGTGCCAGATGAGTCGCGTGCTGTACAATGTCACGCTTAAGCCCCAGTCACATTAGAGCTTACGACCAGTGAAGCTAGTTCACGATCACTAGTGACCTCTGGTCGCGGACAATCTTTAAAACGTCTTACGACGGTCATCGGTGATCTTTGTTAGTCGCAGTTTATCTTATTTAGGTCCCACGACCAATTTCAGTCGTAGAGAGGTTTTTGAGCTTGCACAAAAACCTCCTTGCGATCAAACAGATCGCTAGTGATCTTATAAGGTCTTAGGCTGTCGCACGATCGTCGTTCAGAAGTGCGACAATCTTACGACAGTCTTTACAAATTGCCACTAGTCACTGATAATCTTGAGTAGTCTTTAGTAATCGTGTGATGGTCGTACGACTAGTTGTAGGTGATCGCATGACAGGTCACGGGTAGTCGTAATTAAGTAATCCCACACAATATTGAGACCATTGTACGTTTGCTTATGACCTGTCGTCCGATTGCCAATGATGACTGGTCTTACGATAGTCGCAGAAGTAAATTTATACGCGCAAAAATGGTTTTGGTCGCAGACAATCGCTGATGGTCGTCAGTTTTACAAGTTGCCGGTGGTCGCAAGTAATCTTAAGCTGTAGTGTGACTGGTGTTTTACGATGATGTAATTTTACCGTAATGAATGAAGTGGTAATTTCATACGCTGTTGTTCAAAAATAATTTCGGTTGTAATGGCATAAATTCCCATTTGAAATTAAGGTAAAGAATTCAAAATATAATGTTATATCGTAAAATATGCAAGAAAAAGTATGTGACATATGTTTGCGGTTCGGATCGGAATATCCGGCAAGCCTCGTTACCGCCCAATGGGCGGATCACCTCGGAACGGATATTCCGATCCGAACCGCAACATATGACATATATTATTATTATTTTCTAAGGTTTTAATCTAAAATTATAAAAATATTAAATACCTACTGGTTAAAGTGTTTGAAAGTAACGTAAAGATAAAGTCACATATTGAGTTTAAAAATGTCACCTTTCAATTTTAAGCATTTCTAATGCCCATCCCTGCATGCATTCAAAAATATTTGTACTGATATGTTACTATATGGAACTTATGATATTTTTAAAAGTTTGCTTAGATGAAAAATATCATTAAAGTGATTTTGTGAAACAAATGTCTCAACTATGCATCTTTACCTTTAACTCGTATACATCACAGTGTCCTCAGAACACATGATCGGGCATACCCATTGGCTCTGGTCACGCAGTCTGGTGTGTTGATGAAATCTGTAACATAGAAATTACTTCAAATTTGTGGGAATTAGAATCTTATTTTCATATTTACGTGAAATAAGGTTCTATAGAATACACAGATGTTTTTATTGTTACATGTATTTGCTTAAATTTTTATTTTAAAAGTGATAAAATTATACTATAGTCAACTTAGGTGTGCATTCCGAAAGAAATACTAATATATCGCTGTGAATTAATCTTATACACGTAATGCACTTTTTCAAATTCGCACAGGTGCTATTGTAAGCATAAAAGATTCTTTTAAATTATGGATCAACTGTGCATGTTTACCTTGAACTCATACACATCGTCAATCATGAACCATAACTAGAAATCACGTTTGTTTATTGATAAAATTTTCATGTCACCTTTTCATGTATAAATTTCTTCTATGTCTATTAAAAACTGAAAAAAATTTCAGATATAAAAATTATATTGAATTATGCATATGACTCTCTATTTCCTCCATGTTTAATATTCACTTAAACTAGTAAAAGATAATGTTTGATATTTGTGTTATACATGTATATGTAAAAATATTACAAATGCAAGCACAGGAAAGCAAACTTACTCATTTAGTGTTTATATAGTTTACTGGATTTTTTTTTATTTTCAAAATCAAGCATACATCAATGAAGACTACCTCAAAGCGGTACCCCTGAAATAATAATAACATTACATACATTATATATGTAAAACAATTTTAAAAAATACAAAAAAAACAACCTTGAATACACATTTAACCATAAAACATGATTAAAGTATTCAGAATTTATTTAACGTAATTCGTCATAATTGAAGTGATAATGGCGTTCCATAGTTTAAAAATACTATCGAAATTAACTTGTTATAAATACACATTTTTAGGCCGTTTTTGAATGTTTACTAAGGCAGGAGTGAATCAGAGTTGTAATTTATATAAATTAAACTGTTTTCCATGAAAAGTATAATACAGATCGCTTGAAACACTTGTTGACCTTCAACGGATAAAGAACTGGTATAAAACAAGTAATAATTTTCAACAAATACTCATAATAAACTTACGGCCCCACATTAATAATTCCTGTAATTATCTGTAATATTTTAAGGAAAATGTACCAACTCACTTTACAGTGTACTTTACTGACATTTATTTTGTTTACACTTATTTTGTTGTTGTTGTCGCCATTATGCAGTCGATATTCTGAGTATCGGAGACGCTTTGTTCGCATATGGAAGACCGTTGTCGTCAGAAAAAAATCACAAAAAATAACGCGATAAAAACCCGTTTTTTCTATGTTGCGCAACTTAGATTTTGCTAGACTTTCGATATGATTCATGTTATTCCATATACTTTCTATACCAGGTAAAATATTTTCTGTTGCAATTTGTTTGAGGTCGATTTACAGACTGACTGGACTAAAAATGAATAACTAAAATTTAAAAAAATTAATAAAATAAAATGTGATAAAAAACCCCTTGAAAACAACAACAACAGGAAACAACCATAATATAAGATAACACAAATAACATATTTAGGTCCTCTCAATATAAAAAACATGACCTTCAATGCCTTAAGACTAAATCATATCGTCAAGTAAGAGCTATGTTAGGCCACATGTGTCACAAATCACATTCGTCACAAGTTTTTATGAATTTGTGACGAATGTGATCACATTCGTCACAAATGACTTTTGTGACGAATGTGATTGACCAAAATCGGGTAAAAATGCCAATCACAAACGTCACAAGCAAAATTGAGAATTTTTAAACAGGCGAATCACAAATGTCACAAGTTTATTTTTCAATATGTGATACACGGAATATCATAAGGACAATCGTGGTTATATCAGTGCGATAGTACAAGGGCGACAATGCAATAAATCGATATTGTGATGTCGACATCACGATACCAATATCTTTTTCACCACCATTGCATTATCGCCATCGTACTAACTTGTTGCAATATCGTATCGTCGGCATTGTATTGTCTTCATAGAACTGTCGCATTGTCGTAATGGTATTGCTATCAAGTCGTCTTACGTTCTCGAAACCTTCAAAAAATTTTGGTGACAATGCACGGCATAGTATCAGACTTCAACTGGAAGTGATCTTTTACCTCTGTGAACCCTCAAATTTCTTCCACCATACAGCGACAGTCTAAAGGAATCTCACAGACTTAATCTTAGTTTCAGTACAATTATGACCATATTTACACCAATGAGACCATATATGATTGTTTGGGAAGTAGCTGAGACCCCCGTTGACTTTCAGGATATCTAATTAGAGATTAGGACCTTTTTGACATCAATGAACCTTTTTTGGTCTGACAGACTTTTGACTTCCGCAGACTTTCAGGAATCTTGGTTCAATTAAAGAGTATGACATTTTGGACATCTAGGAACCTTCTTTCCTGAGACGAATTTTGCAAGTCTGTGCCAATTGCTTGCAGACGCTCTATGGAACTTTCCATATCTATTCACTAGTTATAATAATATATAGTTAATTCGTTTAACAGATCGTGTCTTTGTGGCGGGGCCGCTTTATCGTTTCGACGCGTCTTAGCTTTTTTCGCCTTTTATGATTAGATAGTTTCAAACGACGGTTGTTTAGTGAATTTTATAGAGGATATTTGTTTGTTTTGAGTGAATATGAAATATATTTCACTGAGAAGTGAGAAAAAAAATGAAATATGTATCACGAGCGCGTAGCGCGAGTGAAAAATATGAAACATTTTCTCACTTCGAT